ACGATGCTGAAGCCCACCTTTTGATGCCACAACATGCTCACAGAAAAAAGTGCTACTGCAGCAAGACATACTTGAATATTAAGTGTAATTATTTTTTGTTGCAAAACTGAACATCTGGATATAATATACACAATAAGGACTGTATTGCTCGGCACCTTTTTTCTTTTTGCCAGTAAACAAACAGGTTTCCTCGCTTACAAAGACGATATTTATATCAATACAAACTTGGATAAGGAACAACCATGCTGCCAATTCTGGTTAATGGGTTTATGTCTTTTTACAATCCTAAACTGACTAAGTGATAGAACACTGAATGTAACCAACAGTGTGCAGTCGAATAGGAAAAACATCAACACAAACTAGAAACAGTGTTTGATCACAAAACCTGAAGCACAAATCCATCAGTGCACTTCCTAACAGACAGAAAACACTCTTGACAGCACGATGTATGAATCCGTCATCACGCAAAGTTTCATTTCCTCTGATTTACTTTGGTTTGCTGACGTAGCTGTAGAGGCTGCTGGGATCATCGTCTGCTTCTGTCTTCACCAGAGTATTGAGAGTAGAATATGTCACCTCGTCCTCTTTGATCTGGATGACACAAACCGGAGGTTTTACGTGATTCACGCTATTACAGAATCGTCTATATTTACAGTAAAAAACAGCAACTCCCACACCCATATGTTAAACGTCTCATTACAAAATGACGGCAGTAATACTCTGGATGGGCAACATTCTTCCGCAGCAAACTGGGAAAACCTCTTGTTTTGATGGAGCTGCTTTGTGCTCGGGGTCACTATCATGCTGAAACATGTTGAAAGGGTCGACCCAAAACTGTAGCCTCGCATCTGTAATCACACAATTGTCTGAAATATGCTGTCAGGCTGTAGCAGTAAGATTTAAAATCAGTGTGCGGAATACGAGGCGTCTACGGGGGTCTGATTGACACGTCAGAACCCCTGAAAGCCTCAATAGCAAGATTTCAGGGGGGTCTCTCTAAAATCATGAGACAATTATTGGTCTCTTGCAACTCTAGTGTAAGTAATACATCTGTGCTTAAGTAAATACCTTTTATATCTGCTCTGCAAAGCAAATGTAAGACTATGTCTTTACAGAGGTAGGGAACCACAGCTGGATGAATAGAGGCGTATCAGGTCACTCACCTTTATGTGAGGAGGGGCCTGTTGGTTAGCATGGCTGACAGTCACATAGGTCAGATTGCTCTCTGGCTCATCCTGAGTGCAAACAAAACAGCAGTTGTATAAAGTAGAAAGTGCAAACTGTTGGTCTGTATTCATCCCATTGAATAGTGTTTCTAAACATCATCTACAAATACACATGAGAGCAACTTAACTTAACTTTTAAAGTGGAGAGAAATAGACCTTCTACATCAGTATTGCTGCAATACAACGTGTGGCCACCAGTGGCAGCATTGAGCACATATTTTCATCATTGTAATGTGCCGCTTATGCATCATACACAACAGGGTTAATGGAATCCATCTGAACATCTCAGTGTAAGTAAGTACGTTTTTTTTGCATCCACCAATCAATGTGGAATCCTGGATTGAGATGCAATCTTTGGTGTTTTATTTTGTTGAATTTTTCCAGCATTCATCTGACATGAAACTTTCATGTGAATGAAATAACTGAGCCGGTGATTCATTCTCGTAGCCATCCAGGACCAGGATAATACATGATAATTACAGCGATCTGGCATCAGGGCCAACATGTCTGCAAACCAAACTCCAAATATGAGGATTTAATTTGACAAAAACCGAGTGAATTTACTGATTGCAAAGATTTCCCTCAAATGAAACGAATAGATCTGAATAGATCGGTGTACCTGAGTAATGTTACCCAGAGAGTTAGTATTCATGCATCATCACGACTGCTGAACCTTTACCGACCTGAGGCCTCTTGTAATATCTTAAGAGTGAGGAAAGGGAAATGCTACCAACATACTCGTTTGTATAGGCTACATACAAGTGCATTTTTTAAATGAAGCATTTAAATAATTTTGGAATATAGCTTAACTGGTATTTCTCTTGTGACTGTATCACATTAAAACACATGTTACTCACGGGGTGTTGGCTCGGTTTCTGAACATCTGGAACAAAAGATAAAATTTCCAAAGATAAGTCTTCAAATATCATCATTTCGTGTATGATACAATTCATGATATCGTTCCATCTGATGCCGTCGAGATGCTCTCTGAACCGCGGCGTGTCTACAGAGACTTTGCTCCATCGCTGCAGAGCGCAGAGCGCCGCCGGGCCGAGAGGAGGTGGACTCTGTGCTCACGTCATGATGCTTGGTGCTCAAACACTCAAAGCTGACGGTCGATGTTTTCCTCACCTCCAATTTTTAATATGAAGATGTTCGGCCGTAACATCTGCCCAGAGGAGTGTTTTTGTTGCTGCTGTTTACATTCTTTATGATGCAAATTTTAAAAATGCACTACAGGAATGCACTGCTGATTTTGTTTTCATATTTGTCTTGTGTTGCAAATGGGCTACAACCATAGACTGTATATAAGGAGTGACGTCACCCATTGGTTTGTTATGAAGCTCCGAGTTTGGAGATTTGGCCGTCGCCACCTTGACTTTTTGCAACCGATGAACAGAAGTGACCATATCTGGACTGAGGAGGAGTGACGTAGAGACGCCGTATACGACGTCTCTGGTAGAGACCTGTCAATCACTGTGTAGGGTTGCCGCCTGGCTACAACTGCATTTCGTCGTGCGTCGCTGTGTTGCATAATGAGAATAAATGATCCCTGTCTCCCAAGGCCATGTAAAATACTTGTTTTTGATTGGCTGGCAGAAGTCCATTGAAATTGGGTCACCTCGAGCACAGCTCCAGTCTCACACAGTTTTACTTTATGTTCTATATAAATACTGCAAGATATACTTCACAGTAGTAACAGTACTTACAGTATGCTTAATGCACGGACAATTCTCTCTTAATTCTGTTCTTTCAAACACAGTGTCCTGATATAAGAATAATGGACTAGTAGGACTATGATATCTATTTATTTTCACTAAACACATTTTTGGGAATCCCATATAATTAAGTGGAACGACTACCAGTCACATATCACAAGACATGACCATGCACTGCTGAAGATGAATATCCTTACATGTAGCTATAGCGGGCTCAATGTGACAGATATCATATCATATCATGTGTATGACATTATGCTGTAGTTGCTCTGTTTTACTGACCCTCTGTCACTTCGGCTCTCTTCCTGTATTTGATGAGAGCTGCAGCCATGACGACCAGGACGACCACCGCCCCGACCACGGCAACGATGACGATGATGAAGGTGTGATCGACAGCGTCATCTGTGGTCAGAAATGTAATTCATCGCAAAATATGCAACTCCCTTGTTTGAAGATGTGTGAGCCTTCCTCTTATACCTCATCTGACAACTCATTAATTGATGATTGCGTAACTAATCAGATACCTGTGAAGGCAGGTGTGTATTCAGCCTCTATCACCACACAGCTGT